GGAGTCCATGAGTTTCCAGTTACAGCAGATCCAGATGATTATTTTCACATTTCTTCAGCGACAGCAGYAGCCTGTCAAAGCAGCACTCAGCAGATCTTTCCTTTGATGCTACATCCTTGGCTACTTCCCTTATGATAAAAAATAAAAAAAAAGGAAACCAAATGTGGTTTGCACAGATCTGGAATCATGAAACACATGTTTCCAAATGCTAATGGAAGTTCTCCAGATATTTCTTTTAGGTATTTTTGTTGCCAGATATGCAGAGTTTCTGTTATAAGACTTGTTTTCATTGCTGCCCACTTCCTTCACTCACAGAGTCAARCTAAGCATTTTACTCATGTTAAGAAAAGTTAGACAAAGCATAAAAACCCCATGGTGAATGAAAACAGATGCTGCAGAGCGACTTTAAGGGATGGTTCAGATCCTTTGAAGTAGGACTCKGTGGAAAGGCAATTAATATCTGTTGTTGATAGCCAATGCGGTTCTGCTGATCAGCTAAAAGCAGAATTAGTTTCTTGTTAAATGGATTATCTTTTTCACTAACTCTGAAAATCATTAGCAAACCAAAAAGCTTACACGAAATTAGCTTTAGCCAATGTTGAGTCTGCTAACAGCTAACTAACAAGCTAACATCAGTAGGCTTGGCTGTGTCCAAATTCAGGGGCTGGGTCCTTTGAAGGACCCGGTCCAGGTGGGCCGGGTCCTTGGTCGACCGCGAAGACTGGAAAAAAGTGTCTGTGAATTTGGACGGTAGCCTTCTGMTTTATTTAGCTGCATATTTATTTCACTATATTAGCTCGTTTGATTTCTGACAAGAATAACATTAAAAAACATGTATAAACAATTGACAAAAGCATTAACACAACCGCTTGAAGTTTTCATTTTTTACCACCAGATTTTTATTTAAAACTGTGTTCCTTTCTCTCGCTTCATCTGCCATGAATGCATTGCATGAATGCATGGCGTCAGTCTGCAATGTATTATGGGATAAGGTGGGCCGAGAAGGMTCCATCGAACCTGTCCCTCAAATCGAAGAAAGAGGAGGATGCATTTGTCAGCTGTCTTGGAGGAGTTTTTGAATTTGGACAGCCTCCGGCGCAGCGCTGTGATGTAAGCGGCCAACAAATTCAGCCTTCAGAAGACCCAGACCCTGAAATTGGACACAGCCTTTGTGTCAGTCCCACCAGTCTTCAGCTGGAAGGAGGTGAGGACGTGTGATACAGACTAGCAGGTTAGCTGATAGCATCTTCCCCAAATGTTTTTACCTGTTTAGAATTGGTGAAGGTATATTTTTATTTAGCAGTTTAATGAGAGAGAGTTTCCGATGAGAGTTGGACTCCAACAAGGCTGCCCTTTGTCACAGATTCTGTTCATAACTTTTATGATTTCTCTGCTTTTTGCTGATGATGTGGTCCTATTGGCTTCACCAGATCGTGATCTCCAGCTCTCGCTGGAGCTGTTTTCAACCGAGTGTGAAGCGGCCGGGATGAGGATCAGTGCCTCCAAATCCGAAACCATGGTCTTGAGCTGGAAAACGGTAGCATGCCACCTCCGGGTCGGGGAGGAGGTCCTGCCCCAAGTGGAGGAGTTTAAGTATCTCGGGGTCTTGTTCACGAATGAGGGAAGAACGGAGCRGGAGATCGACAGGCGGATTGGTGCTGCATCTGCAGTGATGCGGGCACTGTACCGGTCTGTCGTGGTGAAGCGAGAGCTGAGCCCAAAGGCAAAGCTCTCGCTTTACCGATCGGTCTACGTTCCTACCCTAATCTATGGTCACGAGCTTTGGGTAGTGACCGAAAGAACGAGATCGCGGATACAAGCAGCTGAAATGAGTTTCCTCTGCAGGGTGTCTGGCTCTCCCTTAGAGATAGGGTGAGAAGCTCAGTCATCAGGGAGAGACTCAGAGTAGAGCTGCTGCTCCTCTACATCAAGAGGAGCCAGTTGAGGTGTCTCGGGCATCTGTTTAGGATGCCTCCTGGACGCCTCCCTGGTGAGGTGTTCCGGRCATGTCCCACTGGGAGGAGACCCAGAGGAAGATCCAGGACATGCTGGAGGGACTATGTTTTTTTTGGCTGGCCTGGGAACGCCTTGGGATTCCCCCCGATGAACTGGCTCAAGTGGCTGGGGAGAGGGAAGTCTGGGTCTCTCTGCTTAGGCTGCTGCCCCCACAACCCAACCACGGATAAGAGGAAGAAAATGGACGGACGGTTTAACAAAGCTAATATTTTGGTTAGCTGTGCCCATCACTGCAAGAGAATCTCTAACAAGCGTGCCAAACYAATTTTAACCAAGAGCCTTTAAAGGGCCCGTTGAAATTAACTTTGATATTTTGTATTTAACGTCAACTAAACACGAAACATCACATTCCTTGTCTCATTGCTAGCAAACAATAAGTGAGATCTAAGTGGTATTTCATGCATAGATGTATGACTTAATACGTGTGAAATAAATACAATTGAAAGAGAGTTTTACTCCCACTTTCCAACAGAGAATTCCTATTGGAGAGGTGTTCCAGTTTAAAGTTACGACTTGCATATCTGCCGGCTACTTTTGAACCTTGTGCACCCCCACCTAGTGGTGGCCATCATTTTGAGGGTAAAATAATTAATGTGCATTATGAGAGATTTAKTTTATGGTCAAGGGTGGTTTTAAAGCAGCTTCTCTTAAGACATAAGTACATTTTTGWAGCACTCACRGGCTGCATAAAATGCYKTGGTGGGCTRCAATTTTTTATTTAAAAAAATGTCCACACAGCTCACTGGTCAGTCGGTGGCAAAAACTTAAGAAACAAAAGAAAATTAGCCCATTTGCTTCCAATTTGGAGTCACTTGTTAGTCTCCAGAGTAGCAGCCTAGTTAGTTTATAAACTTTGTGTGAATTCAACTTTTTCTCCAACCCGAAGTCATTCAAAGAGACATCTACAACAGGTAAGATGACAGCTGTTCATAATCTTTCCAAACTATTAGAATAATAAGAAGAAAGTGTATTTTCTTGGAATGAAAGTCTTATTTCCACCAAGGTGGAGGTTTTCCTTTCTCTAATTATGGATTAGACACATTTAGCTTGTCAGCATGAAGTCACAGAGGGGTGTTTTCATGCTGACTAACACTGATAAACCACAAAATTCCTCCATGTCTCAGTCYAAATGAAACTTTCTTGTCACTTCAAACTTCCTAAAAGAGTTTCTGTTCCTTTTCAGTAAATCATTTATGTCACTTGTCATCACCTTGTCTTTGATTCTCCTATCAGTCCAGGTCCAGTTTAGTCTACTTTCTCCACACAGAGACGAGCTGAGCTTTTGATGACAGGTTGGGCGTGATGAGGTCACCCAGAACCTGCAATTACAGCCTCTCCTCTTCGAGTGTTGTGTCTGACAGCGTCATGCATTTTTTTCTTTTAAATCTGATGTGTCACAATAAAAGCCTGCGCTGGACGTTATCATTATCGTGGAAGTCCCGCAGTGATGTTATGAGATGTTGAAACAACCCCGCTCTGTTTTTCCTTCCCTCTGTTTACAGACGTTCATCACTAGAGGAGAGACTCCTGTAAACCGTCTGACTTCTCCATCTCATCTGCTTTGACTCACATGCCAAACAACATGTGGTCAGTGACTAAGGCCCTCATCTGGCTCCTTCATGCATTCTGCAACACATACTCTGAAGTATCTTTTTTTTTGGTCAGCAAATTGACCATCTGCACCGTGAATCAAATTCCTGCTTGTTTGGGGTTGTTTTTTTTTTTTGGGCCACATTCTTCTATTTTTTCCATAAAATAACAAAAACACAGAATGTGCTGATTTAAACAGTCAACATGAATACTGTCATGGCCTCTTAACGTTTTTATTGTTGCAGATGCTGATGTGATTTTACAGCAGAGTTGTCAATTAATTACAGATAGGGTTAAATAAAGGGACTTCTGTAGAAGTTCAAGGTTTTCATTCAAGTAAAAGTGTAAAAGTACTGGTTTTAGGACTGCTTAAAGTATAAAAGTAAAAGTAAGGTAAGGCGGAAAAAAGCCATTAAGGACGTTAGGCCTCAGGACAATGAAGGCTGCAACACAGAGACCTATAGTGCAGTGGTTCTTAAAGATGGGGTCAATTTCAATGCAAATAAATTATTAATGGAATATTTTCACTATAATTATTGCATTTTTTTTAAAATATAATAGTAATAAATAAATGTAAGTATTATCATAGTTATCGTTTGCTTATATTGTTATTATGCTGATGTTTAACGGAGTTATTATTAAAGTTTGGAAACTGGTAATGCCTGGGGTCACAAGTTTCTGGAGCTGTTTGTTGTAGGCCGGACGTTAAAATGTTTGAAAGTGACTGACTGYTATAGTTCGCAGTCCCACCTCCCAAAAAACTATTCCTCTAAAGGCCATAATAACTATAATGTTATGTTAAATGTTACTGTAGAAAAAAAAAAGCATTATATCTGCCCCTTATAAGAATAACTTCAAAATTACAACAAACTTAGCCTGGTAAAAACCAGCYCTGGAAACTAGAATTGAGTGGAACTGCATAAGAGCCAGGCTAACAAGTTCCAAATTTATAAAAATGCACAAAAACAAACATCAGGTGTCATTTATATCATATTTCATTTACATGATATCATATTTCCTAATACCTTTGATTTAATSGCTAACACAATACTATTTCTGATCAACAGCAGTTGTCATCTCTTCCATTCAACTCTTTGAAGTTCGGAGGCTTTTCAAATATTTGCATCATTGCAAAAGACCTGCTGATGAAAAAGAGTGTTTAGGAAAACTACACTGAACTTTTATAATCCCAGAGGCCTGCGGCTTAATGTGCAGATGTTTGGTTTTGAAGGCAGATCAGATTTCTGCTACCCCCCCAACAAAGAGACTCAACTGACTTTTCTGAACTCAGACCTCCTTAAAACTGCAGCTGACTACAGAGACATGAAGGCAGACAGATGTGAAAATGAGTATAAGTTGTTTAAAGTCAGTTTGGGTTAGTTTTCCAGTCTTACCTCGGCTCGGAGGACATTAGCGGTGACAGAAGTGAAGGCAGAGCAGAGGAGGCAGCAGGCCAGTGGGAGCAGCTGTGGCAGCATTTCTGCTTCACTTCCACACACTCACACACACACTTACACAAAAGAAACTTCAACAATCCGTCCGCGCAGACAATAAAAACATTTAAAATGTAAACAAAAAAAGAGTCTCCACACGAACCGAACCGTTTTCTCTGCACGGATCTGCCTCTTCCCCGGAGTCGGAGCGGATTAATAATTAAAATAAAAACTGTAAGAGCTATATGTCCTGAAAACTAAAGTCTGGCTTCGCTTCGGATTGTCTGCAGCCTGTGTGTGTGGACGTGGTCCGGACGGAGACGCACAGAGATGGGTTTTCTTTTTACTTCAAGATCCTCCTCCAGATGTGCGCTCGTCACTTCTTCATCGTGGAAGCTGCGCGACACTTACTCACCAAGACCGAAAAATAAAACTTCCACGATGCATACATAGCCCCTCCTCCGCCGCCTCTCAGGAAAAAAAAAAAAGACTACATTTGTTAATAAAAGTCGTTTTACCTACAGGGGCGCCACTAAGAAGGCACCATGAGGGCAAAGGCCACCCC